AAACAGTTTTAAGTGTGTTTTTGTGTTAAGTAATTGTAGAGTTTTGTTTTAATTTATAGACAAAGTTTGAAGGCACTAGTTTTCTGTTATTAACTAGAACAGGAAAGTGGTTGTCGTTTATTTTGAAGCATTCAATAAGTTTTAACAAACAGAAGTGACTTTCTTAACTACTACACAACATTTATCAAACCTAATCTAAACCCTAAAACTAATACAACCACAGAAGTGGCAAGCATTTAGTTTTAAGAAACAGAAGTGACAAACGTAATTACTATTTTGAAGCATTCAATTAGTTTTAAGAAACAAAAGTGACAAAGCCTTTATCAAACCTAACCTAAACCCTAAAACAAAGAAAAAGTCATTGTCAACCAATTCAAGTACATACATGTAAGATTTAGACAAAGTATTTATCAAACCTAACCTAAACCCTAAAACTAACACAAAGCAAAAGCCACACTAATAAACCGATGGGACTTTGAACAATGTAAATATTTAAGACAGAATTACTAACCTTCAAAGCATTCAGATTGTCTACCCATCACTGCTTTCTTTGATGCATATCTGCATTTGCTTTTACTTCCCCACCTGCTTCACCCCTCAACTACCAAACCATAGAGTACATCAATTTCCTTGAAACCTGCAAAAGCAAACAAAACAAAGGAATTAAAACCATTTTACTTCTAAAAGAAAAAACACATATTTGTAGACGCACAGGTTACAGATTTAATTTGCAATTTAATAGTAGATAAAAAGGTCAATTATGGTACCAAATCCCCTAATCAATGACCCAAAATCAAATCTAGAACTCACGAAATTCATGTAAACGAATACATCACTGCTTTTTTTGATGCATATATGCATTTGCTTTTATTTCCCCACCTGCTTCACCCCTCAACTACCAAACCATAGAGTACATCAATATTCTTGAAACCTGCAAAAGCAAATAAAACAAAAGAATTAAAACCATTTTACTTCTAAAAAAGAAAACACATATTTGCGAACACACAAGTTACATATTTAATTTGCAATTTAATAGTAGATAAAAAGGTCAATTCTGGTACCAAATCCCCTAATCAATGACCCAAAATCAAATCTAGAACTCACGAAATTCATGTAAACGAATACACAAGCATTGAGGAACCTACTTGAAGAAAATGACACAACACAAACATATACAACGATTTGAGGAAACGAATACCTAATTCAATCTAACAATCAAGCCAATTGAATCTAACAACAGCTAGATCTACAAATAATCGAAGAAAACTTATCTTTTCATAAACCGTTTCGTTTGTCCTCTGATTTCGGTTAATGCAGCGATTTCTCTCTCAAAATCGACAACAGAGAGAGATGGAGACAGAGAAAAGGCCGGATCGACTCATCCAAAGGCCGGAA